TTTTTTTTCTAAAAGATTTCTAGATTGTCTATCCTTACAGTATTTGGAAATTCCATATTTGGTAATAATCCTGACTGCACTATCGATCGATAACAAAATGCACGGTGATGTAATTATGGTCAATAATTAAATAAATTTTTGGAAGTCTTTCTTTTAGCATCAAATTCTTTACTTGATCCAACTACAGAAATGTCTTCCTCCGGTATCTTGCAGTGCTTTCAGTGGAGTCACTCTGTTACCTGTCGAGTCTTGTTCCTTCAGCCACAAAATCCTATGTTGAGAAACTTAAGACTTAACCTATTTCCATCATATCTCTCAAGATCTTACGCAATTTCCACACTTCCTCCACCTCGCCACACCTCTCCTGATGAGTCTGCCTCCTCCAATTGGAAGAAACTTACAAGTATAACTGCAAAACGGCTTCCGGTATGAACATATTTGTTGTTTGTTGCATTACTCGGTTGAGTTTCTCACCATCTTTTCACTATTTGCAGACTGCCATACTGGCGAAAATATTTGTAACTGGCTTTCTTGGTTTCATATCAGTGGACCTTCTATACGCTTGGTATCGGAACTGGCACAATGAACGTCTAATTACCAATACAATAGAAAAAGGCACTCGACCTGAAACTGATGTTTCGGATGATGAATTCGTTCCTCGACCTCTAGTTGTAGAACGCCTTAAGAGAATTTTTCAGCCGTATAAAAATCAATCATTTTATCATATGGTTTGCGGTGAACACGGGACCGGGAAGACAACACTGACTAGAATTTTGGCAAAAGAAGTTGGACAGGGAGTTATATATGTTGATATTCCTGCAAATATCATGCAATTGGGCGAAGCGATTGGAAAAGCCATTAACTTTTCATTTGAGGAGGATATCTCTTTCACGGCACAGCTATTACGGAAAATCTTGGGCGATACTAGTAGTGAGTTTATTACTGCTTTGTTTTTAACAACAACATATTTTTAACACTGATTCTCTTTTACAGAGAAAATCGATTATCCCGAGTGGGTGAGAGCTTTGGATGCCTTTAAGCATGCTTCCATAATATACAAAAAGAAGCACGGCAAACCACCAATTATTGTTTATGATAATATCAGCCGACTAGTTTACAAGAATCCGGAAATCCTTGATATCCTTCAGGATGATGCCAAGGATAATGCCGATGACAGAAAATACATCGCCGTGTTTGTCAGCAGTGAAGGAAGTGTTCCCCGAAGAATGGAATGTAAGTATTTGACAATGTTTTTTGGTGCTCTCGAAAAAATTGTATTATTTACAGATTGTGATTCTTATTTCTAGCACGTAGTTCTTGGTCACGTGCAAAGAAACCAGTAATGGAAATTGGTGATCTCAGCGAGAAGGAATCAATGGATTATCTGGTCAACAAGCGCAAAATTAGCTCTTCAGAAGCAAATAAAATCTATGAATTAGTTGGTGGTCGTATCGTAGAGCTGAAGACTGTGGCGGATGATTTCCTGGCTGGACAGTCCTTAAAAGGTAATATTGATTTTATATTTTGTGTCAATCGAATTTATATAGTTTTGCTTTGGATTAATTGCTTAACTCTTTTTCTGTAGTCATTAAACAGCAAATATTAAGAGAAGTCGAGAAAAAATTCCAATCTGCACAACTCCTCCGAAAACAATCACATCATGAAGTAGGGAAGCACATCATCAGTGCTTTATTGGATTCTAAGGAGCTTAGCTTTACAGCGTTTATGGAATTTTTCAATAAGTACGAAGATGCCAACGAAGTCTTGGAGACCAATGTATTTGCATATCACCCAGAGAAAAACGCCGTCACATTTCAGTCTCAATCGGTAGAATACTATCTTCGGGAAAATACTAATATATTCATCAAATAAGGTCATGGTTTACATTTTTAAAGAAAATATAGAAGTTTACATGTATACTTGATGTCACTAATGCATAATAAAGCCTTTTGTCGCTAATTAAAAGGTCCGCGATGGTATAAACTTTATGATTTTTTAATACAATCGAGTAGCGAGCTTGGTATTCACTTACACCCCTACATGAATCAATGATCTGATTTAGAAGAATTGTTGCACATTGGGATTTTGTTTTTTTGTAAAAAAACAATGGCTTCTATCGTTACAATTCTTATTTTTCCGATATATATGCCACACCCAACACCACACTCAAATACATGCATACACTGGTTAAAAAGATAAAGTCCGAAATGTGGGGCAAACTTTATTCTATGCCTCCACTACTATGCTTTTATCCGGGAATTTAAGGGTATTGTTCCAAGGGATAGGTGATGTGAAGCATTGAGTCTTTAACTCCTGAATCAGTTCTGAATTTTCAGGATAAGCTTCTAATACCTTGATGAGAGGAATCCATGGATCTTTTAAATTTTCGCAATACAAATAATAAGTTTTACTACTTTGCTTATCGATCCACCACTTACCTCGCAAACTCATATGTTTTTCCCTACATAGTGGACAATGTAAACCAAGAACCCAATATGCATCAGATTGATGTCCATCTTCCTTATTTATGTTAAAATTGAATGTTTCAATACTTTGATATAATACATCATTATACACAAGATATGTCTCGAAAATCTAAGAATAACAGACGCAGAACTAAAGCTAGATTTACTACGAATCCTATGCAATATTTACAATTTCAAAACTGGGATAAATATGATCACATTATTCATATTATTCATGAAGGTCATATAATTGTCATAAATAAGAAAACACAAGATGTAAAAAGGAGGTATTTGATTATGAGGAGGTATGTAGGTAAATAATATCGGTTCGAATAGGTAAAGGCCCAGAGTCTATGACTCATATTCTCGATGGTATGGCAAATAGAAATAGCTCGCTTTTTATCAACGAAATAAAAATGACCATTTATTAACAAAATATAAAAATACAACCAAAATCCTTCTTACCTTAAGATGATTTTTTTGTTGATTTAACTGTTTTCCTTTTTTTCTTTTGTGGTGGTGGTGATTCAACAGTAGACACTGTTGAAGTTTCCGAAAATATTGACATATTCGATGATTGTGACATAATTGACATCGTTTCTGTAGAGTCGTCAGTAGTATGCAATATTTTGCGTATCGTACATGCAATCGCCGGTCGCGTTTACTTCGTCGAAAATTATTTCGTTGACAATCATTTCGTCGACACCCATTTCGTCGAAAGTTCGTTTGATCGAAAGTTCGTTTCGTCGAATGTTCATTTTGTCGAAAGTTTGTTTCATCGAATGTTCATTTCGTCGAAAATTATTTCATCCTCGAGCCAGAGACCGAACGAGTTAGGTGTGAGGAGTGTGGAAAGTTAGTTAAGAAATTAGGTGAGGAAAGCAGAGTGTGTGGGAAGTGCGAGGAGAAATTTGTTTAATGAAGTTTTTTTTTTGTGATGAAATAATTTTCGACAAAATGAACATTTGACGAAATGAACATTTGACGAAGTGAACTTTCGATGAAACAAACTTTCGACAGAATGGGTGTCGACGAAATGACTGTCGACGAAATGATTGTCAACGAAATGAATCAGACCCGCAATCGCAGTTCTAAAAGTTAATAATGTATGAATGAGATGGTAAAGATCTTCCGGTTTTGTAGATGAAATGCATAGTGGAATAGTTGCTCGTTCGAGTAGGCAATTCTTATAAATGTGAGACATATCACACATGCAACGGAGTTCGATTATATTACCAGCAACGTTGATTGTGAATATCGAAAGCATAGTTTTCATTGCTAAGCTCCTGAATACTCTATCATTTTTTGCTAAATTTGTAAAATCAATGGCATCTTTAGAAAGCCGATTTAACTTCTTGTGGTCATACCATTGCTTCTCAAGAGCGGAATCTGGTCGGCCAGTTTCGAGGTACCCGACTTCGACATTTTTTTCTTTTAATTTGGCAACAACTGCGTAATCAGGCCGTCGTGCTCGTTTGGAAGAACCTTTTCGCTCCGCGCTAGCTAAACTCGCCTTATCCCCCCTTTAATATTTGATAAAACATGTTAATACCATCTCATGAACTCAAGCTGGTAAAAATAAGAGTGAAATTACACCAACCAAACACCCCATATATCAATATCCACTGGTAAATCTCTCATTGCGATGTTAAATAATGGTGATAACACTTCACACACATAGGACCCTTCATTTATGGTTGATTCCTTCGTTTCCGTGAATAACCTCCACTTTGGGGATCCCCATATCATAGCACTAGAATAATTAATTTAGTTAGATTAATAATAATATTTTTCAGCTTGTTAATACATGCAATCCAATAGAAAAACATACAATACTCCTAACATCTGATTCGCTAATTCTTCTATTTCCTCAGGCTGATCTAAAAACTCACTGAACGATGCACCTCCAAATTTCTTCGAAGACCTTGCCAAAATCTTTTTACTCTCCCTTTCAACAAAATCTCCACAAACACGCTTCAAGGGTTCACAAGCAGGAAGAAGGAATTTCTTACTTGATGCTCTGAAGATTTTGAGAAGCTCCTCCAGTATTTCAGTAAAAGGAGTTGAGCAGTCATCTAGTATTCCTGAGCACAGAGGGTGATCATATCCAAGATCTTCCACCTTTATATTGAGCAATTCTCTCTCTATAGTTTCCCACATAATTTTATCAGCACCTGTGGTCGTTACTGCAAGCTAAATTTTCTTGTATTAGTACAAATATTGGATTTCAAATTAAGACATTACTAACCATTCTAAATGGATACATACCTTATGTACATCACGTTTCAAACTTTTCGAAATTATTAGTCGCGTCACTTACCCAATTTACATCTGCCTTCTGTAAATGTAAAACAATTAGTTATCTTGTAGCTTATATCCAGTTGAAGAGTTATGTTCTTACCAAAGCGTCTATTTCTATCATACCACAAATATAATCGAATGCCTCCGATACCTAAAAAATAGAGATTATCCCGGTTAATCATTAGATAACTAAATCCAAACTCATAATAAAGGCGAATGCATTCAGGTTCAGTTGAGTTTCTATTTTCATGCATTTTCTCAAGAACGCCGGCTGTATAAGTTTATGACTGCAGTAGAATACTATGTATAGTGTGGATACATATAAGCAGTTACTGCCAATGAGCCCACAGTATTAACGCTATTTTTGCCCCATTTCTATTAATGTAACACTGTGGAGGCGAAGTCCATTCACTGCTTACATATCACTATACGTTTCATCAACTGTGGCGATTACGAGAAACCAATAAAATCATCATATCCATATTTAATTTAGAGATATAGAAAAAATCTTACACGTTGTCTCAATACATCCCCATTCCCAAAACCATTAAGTTTTCTTAACCGCTCCCAATCGTCTGCAGGGACTGATCTCAATACATCGCCATGTACCTTAACAAAATTTTTGATTTCTTTCTCACGATCATTTGTCCATTCATTCTCCTCAATTCGCTTATACAAAGCAGTAAGAATATTTATGGCTGAAATTGGATTATAAGTGATTAAAAAATTTTCCATTTTTATGGATGAAGTATTTAGCGTAGTGTTAGTGAAAAAAAATGAAAAGAAATGACTATAAAAAGCGATTAGAATGTATAATAATTTCGATATACTGTCCTTTTTAAACATTTTTTTCCTTCTATATCTTCCTCTGGATCTATCGAATGAATAATAATGCAGAGAGATAAAGCAATGCGAATGTATTTACGCCAAAAAATTTCTCTCAGTACATGAGCTATTAATCGAATCGCGCAAATAAATATGCATAATTTATATAGTTACACCGCATATACAAGTATTCTGGAAATCAAAAATTTTATGGGTTGTACACAAATAATTATGTTTAAAAAATAAGAATTCGAATGATTCTTTTTATTATTATTATTATTATTATGATTTAATGATTAATCAAGCGAACTATATTTCGATAAAATACAAGAATAAAATATTTTTTACGGTAGAGTTGCAAGGGAGAGAACGTACGGCCCCTAGACCATGAATATACGTCCCTATACTTTGGCTCTACCAGGTGAAAAAAAAACTATTTATTATAATCTATTTCTTCCTCATCACTAACTTCATCGATTTTATTATTGCTAGATGCTGATTTATTTTTGGATTTATTTTTTTCTTTAGTCTTGAGCTCGATCCAAGATTTGATTGCTCCTACAGTCCTGATGTCGATTTCGTTGTTTGATTATAATAACTTTCCACCGCTTTGTTTGACACAACCTTTATTCTCTTCTCCTTTCGAAGATCGCTTACAACTTCATTAATCATATCTGCTTTGGAATAATCGTTTTCCCGCATAGTTTCATCGAAAAGGTTTTTAAATTTCTGAACAAGTGGATCTGAAAATGAGGTCCGCCTTGAAGCTAATATGATATGGAAATATTTGATTTACTATGAATCTCTCATCAAAGTAGTAGATATATTTGTTGAAATAATCTTACCTCGAGAACTGCTTGAAAAATTGCTTGAATTATTACTTGAAAGATTTCTTGAATAATTAGTTAGGGTATCTTCTTCCTGGAATCTTTGTTGAATTTTTTCGGAAAGTTCATCTATTTTATTATTAAATTCTTCAATTTTATTATAAAGCTCATCAATTTTATTATCAATTTCTTCAAATTTATTATCAATTATTTTAGATTTGTTTTTTTGTTTCTCCTTCAATAAATCAAGATCCGTATCGATCCGTTGTTTAAAGATGTAGAGAACGAAGCATATAACAGTAATGAATAGGTATACGAAAAACTTTTCCCCAATGATAAAAATTACGATAAGTATCAAGACAGGGATGATGAATAAATAACTCTCTAATGGCATTTCTGCTAGAGCTTTGAAAAGTTCGATTGGTGACATCTATGGGTAAAAATCAGTTAGTCCAATGGCGCTACAAGAATACTACATCTCTAAATCTGATACAAGAGTCTTAACAAACCTTTGATTCGATAAATGTAAGAATGATGTTTAATATGATTTTATTTTTTAACGTGGTTTTTAATCGATTTACTATATACGTTTTATTGATTTATTTATTAACGTGCTTTTTGATTAATTGATTTACTATGTTTTATTTATTAACGTGGGTTTGATTGATTTAACAGATTTTTATTGTATTTATTCGAATGTTATAGTTATGAAGTAGAAAAATTATACGAATTCGAATTTGAGCTGTTTTTATATGCATTCCAGAGTTTCTCCAGCGCGGATGATCAATCTGCTGTGGGTACACATTATTAAAGTTATCAATAATCATTGGTTTTTTCGAATTGCACGGCCAGTTCATTAAAAATTTATCTACTATGGACGATCCGTTACCTTTGCCGATCTTAATTGTTTGTGAATTTATCTGATAGGTAAAATCGAAAACTTTGGCACATCTCATACGACGCACAGGCCCTCATTCGATGTCAAAAAATAAGCTTAATCGTTTTTATACAACAACAGTACATACCACTTATTTACTCGTAAAAACAAGAGAAGATCTGGTGATCACATAATAATTGTATTCTATGTAGTGTAATTGGACAAATATATTATAGATATTTTTAGTAGAATGTCGATTACCCGCTTTGGAAAATTGGGATTGCATAATTATCATGTATAGAAAGTTTGTTATTACACATATCAATCGTTGCGCCATTTTTTTGCAACCATGGTTTTCCTAACATTAAATCAGGCCCAGGCCAATCTGGTCCAACAACCAAGAATTCAACGGGATCGGTACTTTTATGCTTCCCATCAACATTAAAACTAGTTTGCAGTTCAACCTTTCCTAGTATAGAAAATGATCCATCAGGAGTTTGTAATTCGAGGCTATTGCTTTTATTTACATGATGTACTAAACCCAACTCGTTAATAAATTTTTGGGTAATTAAATCTGCGTTAGCGCCTGTATCAATTAATGTTTCAATAGGAGGTTTTTCTTCGACTGCGCAATTTACAAACAACATTTTGGTTATATTATTATACACTATATCTTTGACCGAGAAAAAAATCAAATTGGAATTAATTACTTAGTCTCTACTACGAAGCACCATTATCTGTAACCCACGATTGTGAAAATGAGGA